TCGAATATCGTAGCGACTGAAACATGAGGCGGCCTGGTGCAGCACATTCAGTTGCCTGAGAACATCACAAACGAGAGATTCAGCTGGGTTTCCAGGTGAGCTCTCGAAAGAACCAAATTAGTTTGCAAATGAGTGTGTATTCGAAGATGAACGATGTTGGGCGGGTTCATGTCCGAAAGGGCATCACTTGATTATCCAGTCAGCACCGTTGAGCTGAAATACCCATTTTTACTGTTCGATTTTAGTGTCAATGTACCATACGAATATGAATTTCAACCACATTTCTGCTCAATTCGGTGGTGTGCAACCACAGTTTCGCGAGATGCGAACGACTGAGAAGTTTTAGTCTGACTGCACTGTACTCCTCTGCTTCGCAGCCTAACTCAAGTACATTTCACACGATCGAGTCAGAAATTCGAAAATCGTCAACAGTGTCCACACAAGAGGACTTCTGTAGTGCCGAACGATCCGACAGCCTCCGCAGGGCTACGGCGGAAATTTTAAAAAATTCACACTACTGACTAAGCATTATAGTACAAAATGAAGTGAATGAAATTAAAGATGCGCACATGGACAGTCCCTGAGTTGCGGGTGGAATGGTGAGAAAGACCACCGACACTGAAACATCGTGAGGGCATAGCACGCGCGTTTGTGGTCGGAGACAAGGTTATTGGGTTTTACAACTACCTGAATAAACTGAGTATATACATCAAACTTAGTATGGAGATAGAGTCAACCAGGTATACACTGGTATTTTTAGACTGCGTCGGACGGAAACTAAGGTCCACTGTATACGATAAGCCAACTGACATAGAGACAGTTTTGAACTACTCTTCTGCTCATCCGAAGTCGGTATTCGTTAGTATGGCCTCATCAATATTTAAGCGTGTAAGGGCCCTGTGCACAGAAGTTGATCGGACAGCCACGCAAATGGAAGTAAAGAACAAACTTCGGGGTAGTGGATATCCAGCTAGCTTGATTAGGCGTCAATTGCGAAGGGTGTTGGTACCGGCAGGGAAACCCAACAGGGAATGGATCGGGACCGCGGTTATTCCATATAAAATAGGGACATTGGAGGTCATTCGAAGAATTCTAAACACGGCTAATATAAGAGTAGCTTTCCAGAGGAACACTCTGCGCTCTGCAATGGTGCAATTAAAGAATCACCTCCCGGCAAACAGAACTAAGGACTGTGTGCACAAAATCAAGTGTAACGACTGCGTTAAGGTTTATATAGGATAGACGGTCATGGAACTTCACACCAGAATCGGAGTGCATAAGAGGGAAGTAAACAGGTCGCCGAGAAACGTAGATGAATATCGAGCGTTACTGAAAGACTCAGCAATTGCAGAACATGCATAGGACATGGGACTCAAAATATACTTAGAAAACGTTGGGGTTTTGAGGCGGTGACTACGGCCCACGTCAGGGACTAATGGCCGAGGCGGTACAGGTTGCCAAGCATCCAGCGTTAACAGAATAGAAGGCGTGGAATTGGCAAGCGTGTGGAGAATGGTTCCGGATCAGTCGAAGTGTGACACATGTTGGTGTACGGTCATCAGGAATAGTCATCATTTGAATTCCATTCGACCTCACTCCACCCCACCCCAACTGAATTGCCACAGGCCCAAAAAAACAAAGAAATCTATCAACGGCTACCGCGGTGAATCATTAGTTGAAGCGCATTGAAGTGGAAGATAAAGGAACCAAACCCGATCAGAATCAATTTGAAACTCCCCCAATCCACTAACACCAACCGACTAGAGACGTTAATTGACACTCAGAACTGATCTAGTGCACTGATATGAAGGAGTCTCCGTCTGCCTTGAAACCTAGGCAACTTGGTGACACGGAACAGAATAGTTAACACCTTTGATGAAGAAAGGAATGCAACGAACAAATTAAAAAAGCACGAAGCTACCAACATCCGAGCAGTTGACAAGGGACGTCTAACAACTAACATGGATTAATCGGACCATAACAGCAAAAGCTCAACTACTACACATCTTATCGGTAGATATCAACACTCCATCGACAATGCAGTTCGAATTTTACGACAAACGAGGAAACGAATGGGGAAAAAGAACATTATGGTATCATTCAAGGTACGCCAACTGTCCACATCTGCGGACCTCGATACCAGTGACCGCCGTTGGGTTCCAAAACGGATCCCTATAAAGCGATGATATCTGCAGGAAGCTGGGGGGTTATAGGATTCATCGTGCAGGTCGACACGGAAGTGCTAAAAGTTCGAGAACTAAATCCAATAATATGGAACCGTTATGTGGACGATGCCTTCACCATTTGTCAAAGAGATGAACTACAACTAAGAAACCAGTTATTTTACGTTTCCGACGGCATCAAATTTATTCTGGAAGAAATCGATGGAGAACTAAATAATATGGAACCGTTATGTGGACGATGCCTTCACCATTGTCAAAGAGAATGAACTACAACTAAGAAACCAGTTATTTTACGTTACGGACGGCATCAAATTTATTCTGGAAGAAATCGATGGAGAACTAGCATTCTCAGATGTTTAATCACCAGACTGTCGGGAAGAAAACAACAAACCGAGGTCCGTGGGGAAGCGACTCAAATGGATCGAATTCCGGACGGCCATGGTAACCACCCGCAGTGTCACAAACAAGGCTGAATCCGGACGTTGTACCAAGAAGGGCTATTTTGGAGAACTCCGAAAAAAGCGACTCGACGAACTCGAAAACGTAGAGATCGTAGTCTTTACTCCCATGTGTCTGGATGCAAGAATGCTGCGACAGCACAATACGAACTCACTTCGAAAGGCGATACCGAAACCAAAGGGTATGAGGAATATGGACGCCATACACAGAATTTGGCGCAAAGATTGTGGCAAACACTACGCGGGATAAACACGAAGAAAGTCGCGATAAGCACTCATTTACAAGATAATTTGGTGCTGGCAAGAGATTCAGCTGAATTTAGCTCAGATATCTGGTGGACGATACCCAAAAGACTCCACGAATACCAACATACTGCTACGAGATAAGATCAGTTATCATTCGCCACCGAAAATGAGAATCCAGAAGGAAACGAATTCAACTGCAACGAGGACGATAAACAAGCCAAATCAGGAAAGGAGGGCCGTGAATTTATGTGGGCATGGTAACGAGAAATCCATCAACAAACAGAGTGAAGCTCACCCAGTCTGAAGGTCAGAACCATGAAGCTCAAGGCTGTTCACGAAATCAGAGAAACCAAACTAAGGTACAGGGAGAACTAAGAGGATCGGTCAACAACGCAAACGAAAGTGCGATTAAACCGATCGAAACAAAGAATGAAAACTTCTGAAAGTGGGTTTCCAGATGACCAGTCAGGTAGACCGAAAAATAAACAGACCAACCAGGATAAAAAGAGACAAAACCAATGAACTCAACAAGCCAATCAAATGCAAACTGCAACGTGGCGCAAGTTCCAAACGGCCTGATGAAATCATATGTAAGCCAATCCTCGAGTTAGGGATACTAAATGCCCTTCAGAAACATTTGCAAGTCGAACACTAGATTCGGCGAACAGATCAACAACGACCGACGAATGCCATTGTGACAGGCGCCATCTTGCTGGGAGGGACCTTGACGCTACTCTCCAAAGTGAGACAAAAGGGTAATTCCCGAGCTGTCTCTTTTGGATCGACTACTGGACTTTGTAGTAGCAGTTGTATTTTCACCATCGACAAAGTGGGCGATAGGGTAACCCTAATTTCCAACATAGGCTGTCTCCTACTCACCATATTAACTTTCGTTCAGCTGTAGCACCCTCTCGGTGCCTAGCTGCCATGCGTCCCGAAGGAAGCCTGGAGTACTGTCAGGTTGCCCAAGCCTAGACAAGAGAAGTCGAGATGCAGAGGTCGGGTTCGAACCACCGATCATCTGGTCAGTAAATTCTCGCTTTAACCATTATGCCATCTCACCCCATATTGATTTTAGGCTCTAATCTAGTGAATTCGGTCAACTGGTAGACGTTGGACGGATTCTGACATTAACATGCATTCGAAACTGATCAACCGGCTCAGCGTGAATGAATGCGTGTTTCTTGTTTGCTCCAGTTAGTAAGTAGAATATCCTACACTGTGCAGTCATACAGCAGTCTAGGCTTGCTGAAAAGCCCATCATTTTTTAAAGACCGATACACATTAGGTCGGAGTGAATTTCAGTGACAGGAACATTTAAACAAGGTCACTTCACCGTGGGATGTATGGCACTTGGTGGACTTATGATGCAACAAACAGGTCAACAACTGATGTAGCACTCTCCTTGGTACCTCCTCAGGTGATGTTCAAAACACTTATTTCGTGTGATTTACTCGGACAGATGGAAACAGCTCACCAATCAGTTTGAAATGCAGGAAGTAATATAATGCAGCTGTGGCACATGATCGCAGAAGAGCTGCCAAGCACACGGAGTGTTGGTACGTAAGTTGACCAATCAAAAGCCACGTTAGTGTTCAAACCTGTTTTCGAAATGAATGGGCTTCTTGTAAAAGTGGACAGAATAAATACCTTTATTGTTTGCATTTATCTTCATAAGGATGAGCGGGTATTGTTGAATTTTGCGAAAAAATTACGGGGCTGCTGTAATATGCGGACCAGCGTAGGCCTCGAATAGAATACTCGCAAGTTTGTTCATCACTAGTAATAGGACAGACTCAGTTGACTCGTCAGTCCAAGCAGGCATTTGTTACCCATGCCATTCTGGATGACAAAAACATGTGTGATGGACTTGTCCCGTTACTTTAGTTCCTCAGGTCAACTAGCTTCCAACGGTAGGATGTTTCAATGCAGTTCGAATTTTACGACAAACGAGGAAACGAATGGGGAAAAAGAACATTATGGTATCATTCAAGGTACGCCAACTGTCCACATCTGCGGACCTCGATACCAGTGACCGCCGTTGGGTTCCAAAACGGATCCCTATAAAGCGATGATATCTGCAGGAAGCTGGGGGGTTATAGGATTCATCGTGCAGGTCGACACGGAAGTGCTAAAAGTTCGAGAACTAAATCCAATAATATGGAACCGTTATGTGGACGATGCCTTCACCATTGTCAAAGAGAATGAACTACAACTAAGAAACCAGTTATTTTACGTTTCCGACGGCATCAAATTTATTCTGGAAGAAATCGATGGAGAACTAGCATTCTCAGATGTTTAATCACCAGACTGTCGGGAAGAAAACAACAAACCGAGGTCCGTGGGGAAGCGACTCAAATGGATCGAATTCCGGACGGCCATGGTAACCACCCGCAGTGTCACAAACAAGGCTGAATCCGGACGTTGTACCAAGAAGGGCTATTTTGGAGAACTCCGAAAAAAGCGACTCGACGAACTCGAAAACGTAAAGATTACGCTCCCATGTGTCTGGATGCAAGAATGCTGCGACAGCACAATACGAACTCACTTCGAAAGGCGATACCGAAACCAAAAAGAAGAGTATGAGGAATATGGACGCCATACACAGAATTTGGCGCAAAGATTGTGGCAAACACTACGCGGGATAAACACGAAGAAAGTCGCGATAAGCACTCATTTACAAGATAATTTGGTGCTGGCAAGAGATTCAGCTGAATTTAGCTCAGATATCTGGTGGACGATACCCAAAAGACTCCACGAATACCAACATACTGCTACGAGATAAGATCAGTTATCATTCGCCACCGAAAATGAGAATCCAGAAGGAAACGAATTCAACTGCAACGAGGACGATAAACAAGCCAAATCAGGAAAGGAGGGCCGTGAATTTATGTGGGCATGGTAACGAGAAATCCATCAACAAACAGAGTGAAGCTCACCCAGTCTGAAGGTCAGAACCATGAAGCTCAAGGCTGTTCACGAAATCAGAGAAACCAAACTAAGGTACAGGGAGAACTAAGAGGATCGGTCAACAACGCAAACGAAAGTGCGATTAAACCGATCGAAACAAAGAATGAAAACTTCTGAAAGTGGGTTTCCAGATGACCAGTCAGGTAGACCGAAAAATAAACAGACCAACCAGGATAAAAAGAGACAAAACCAATGAACTCAACAAGCCAATCAAATGCAAACTGCAACGTGGCGCAAGTTCCAAACGGCCTGATGAAATCATATGTAAGCCAATCCTCGAGTTAGGGATACTAAATGCCCTTCAGAAACATTTGCAAGTCGAACACTAGATTCGGCGAACAGATCAACAACGACCGACGAATGCCATTGTGACAGGCGCCATCTTGCTGGGAGGGACCTTGACGCTACTCTCCAAAGTGAGACAAAAGGGTAATTCCCGAGCTGTCTCTTTTGGATCGACTACTGGACTTTGTAGTAGCAGTTGTATTTTCACCATCGACAAAGTGGGCGATAGGGTAACCCTAATTTCCAACATAGGCTGTCTCCTACTCACCATATTAACTTTCGTTCAGCTGTAGCACCCTCTCGGTGCCTAGCTGCCATGCGTCCCGAAGGAAGCCTGGAGTACTGTCAGGTTGCCCAAGCCTAGACAAGAGAAGTCGAGATGCAGAGGTCGGGTTCGAACCACCGACCATCTGGTCAGTAAGTTCTCGCTTTAACCATTATGCCATCTCACCCCATATTGATTTTAGGCTCTAATCTAGTGAATTCGGTCAACTGGTAGACGTTGGACGGATTCTGACATTAACATGCATTCGAAACTGATCAACCGGCTCAGCGTGAATGAATGCGTGTTTCTTGTTTGCTCCAGTTAGTAAGTAGAATATCCTACACTGTGCAGTCATACAGCAGTCTAGGCTTGCTGAAAAGCCCATCATTTTTTAAAGACCGATACACATTAGGTCGGAGTGAATTTCAGTGACAGGAACATTTAAACAAGGTCACTTCACCGTGGGATGTATGGCACTTGGTGGACTTATGATGCAACAAACAGGTCAACAACTGATGTAGCACTCTCCTTGGTACCTCCTCAGGTGATGTTCAAAACACTTATTTCGTGTGATTTACTCGGACAGATGGAAACAGCTCACCAATCAGTTTGAAATGCAGGAAGTAATATAATGCAGCTGTGGCACATGATCGCAGAAGAGCTGCCAAGCAAACGGAGTGTTGGTACGTAAGTTGACCAATCAAAAGCCACGTTAGTGTTCAAACCTGTTTTCGAAATGAATGGGCTTCTTGTAAAAGTGGACAGAATAAATACCTTTATTGTTTGCATTTATCTTCATAAGGATGAGCGGGTATTGTTGAATTTTGCGAAAAAATTACGGGGCTGCTGTAATATGCGGACCAGCGTAGGCCTCGAATAGAATACTCGCAAGTTTGTTCATCACTAGTAATAGGACAGACTCAGTTGACTCGTCAGTCCAAGCAGGCATTTGTTACCCATGCCATTCTGGATGACAAAAACATGTGTGATGGACTTGTCCCGTTACTTTAGTTCCTCAGGTCAACTAGCTTCCAACGGTAGGATGTTTCTGCTGTCCTGTGCTAGTTAAATTTGGTTTCGCCCCGAACATTGCAGATGATCAAAAGGCGCTCCACTCTTAAAAATAAGTGATCCGTGTTGGGCATTTCTTGCCGCGTTCTATTTTTTTTCCGCTTTTTGAGGGTAGAATGATTTCGGTTGATTAGTTCACCTCCTCAAAAAGGGATATCACATGTTTCGTGGTGGAACTAGCGTTCCCCCTTTTCATGCCCAAACCCCAAGAAATAGCACTCACAAAGTAATGAATGCTGCCCATAGTTCGCGCAAGTTTGCCGACCAAAAACCGAGCTGGAAGACGGATGACCAAGAAAGCAATGCGGTAGCGGCAACAGTTAAAAACAACAGCCTGACTTCTGTTATTAGAGGGCAGACAACACAGATAGGAGGGTTGAGTGGCCCCTTTAGGGGAGGGGGTATCGGGATACAAGACAATTGGGTTGAAGGGTTCGAAATCAGTAGAAAACAGCACAAGCAACTTACTAGCCAACAATCGACCTCGTTGGTATGTACAAAAAATGGAGGAAGGAACAGTTCTTTTTAAAGGCGCAACATAACAGCAGTCAAGTAATCAACCGAACCATATAAAACACATTTGTGTGCTGAATCGAGGAGATTGGATGGGGGTGAAACACACATAGGCAGTGAGGCTCTAAAGTGACAGGCGGAGCGACAGAAAGAATGAGAAGAGCATCCTGAATCATCTGTCCAATAGTTGGCGGTTTGTGTGCTACATGAATCGGAACTCAAAGTGTCCCCCATCGAACGGGTGCATGTTGGCAAACGAGAAACCTCCAAATGGTCCGAAAGGACCTTGGTGTTGCTGTTGTTGTTGCGGATCCAACGGGTCCTCGCCGTTGTCGTATCGACTGCGCATCTCTGTAGTGAACAAAATGTGGGAAAATTGATAAAGATAGCTTCCCAGAGGGAGAGAGATAGAGCAAACGACTGCTGAGGGGATGGCATTTTTCAAAGTCAGTTATGACCTCTCCCAGTGAAGTCAAAATGGGTGAGAGGGGTCTTACAGGGATATGTTCCTTCCGGTTTAGTCCAAAGAAATGAATGGGATTGAATGAAGTTTTGCTTAGTACACGACGGGCCGAGATGGCTCAAGTGGTCAGCGCGCAAATTTACTGACCGGAAGGTCCGTGGTTCGAACTCGACCTCTACCTCTCGACTTCCCCTGTCCAGGCTTGGACAACCTGGCAGTATCCCAGCCCTCGTGCTTCCTCCGGGTTGCATGGAAGGTAGGCACCGGAAGGGTGTTACAGCTGAACCACTATTATATTATTTAGTACACAACACAGGGCAACTAAAAAGTCGCTTAGTTCTGGAAACCAAGCATCTTGGATGGATAAAATTCTGGGTACAACGAAGAAGCCAAACATCACAGTCCAAACTACCGACAATCTGTTCCGGTTACCTCCTCTCCAGCACAGCCCGCACGACAATCGAACTCTTCGATATTCCAAATTTTTATTCCAACTCTACTTCAGCATACAGTACAAGTTGCAGTTGGGTTCGGTTCACCATCAGTACGACAACCGTAACGGAAATGATGCTCTGTAGTCATACATTCGTTCATTTTGTACAGATGCTCAGATGCTGTTAGGATCTACAACACATAGATCGGAGAATAATTTAGACTGAAGCCTAACTGTAAGAAAGGTGAGTGGATGCCGGAACAAGTAGCCATATGCTTTCTACCCTCTAACCCGGAAAACCAAGAGCCTATGTTTGTCCGACCTTTATCCGATCCCACCTCCCGAAATCATCGGCGAATGAAGCATTTTTGACCAATCGACGCAAGCCCTTGTTGTACCCACATTAAGGCCCCAGGGTAACTTTGAGGTTACGCCGGTTTTATTGACTGAATTATTGACAAAGATGTGTTTGATACGTCTGTCACCTTTCGAGACTACCACTTCTTACAGGTTTGCGGCTGTGAGCGAAAGGATAGCCTCTAGCAAGGTACACCTGTACATCATGTCGCACTGAATTCGGGCAGACAGACCGGCCAGTAGCTGATGCTGGACTGTCGTTGCGCTATCGTGCCAGCAGTGGGGTGAAACGATTCCATGGATCTATCAGTCCGAAAACACTGTTAATCGTAGCATAAGCGAGAATGACAGTTACAATAACATGGCGAAATCGATTGTGCCTTGTGTTAGTTTCGACTACGGTCAGGCCATCACGCCGAAATTTCATGAGTACGCACAATTCATCAGGACAAGCTGCAAATTCCAATAGGCTTAGTCACAAATGGTACCACCGATTCGATTAATCAATGACGCGTCTGTATCAAAAGGATACTCACGCATCTAGATTAGCAAACTGAACCAAAGGGAGGCAAAGCACAAAATTCTGAGGGCACTAGTGGTTTAGTCAGCTGGTCCGTGTCGATCAAACGCGAATCCAGTGTTCATGGGTAACAACGCGCGCCAATGACACACTTTACGAATGGAACGTTTCCAGCTGCCGAAGAAAGCGTCAGGATCCGACGAAATCGCTCAACACTAATTCCCAATAGACCATATTAGCCTAGGATCTTCATGGAAATGGAACGTGTTGAGATTGCAAAATGACAACTTTATCAGGACATTATGAGTGATGACACTGCATACTTGCAGTGGGTTTAGAAATCACACCATTGGATTGTTCCATCCACAGAATCTGTATTCCGACCGTCCTAAAAATTACACAGAAGTCAAGTCACTGGACTGACAGACGTAAAAGTTAACTCTTCGACAATATCCTGCGACTCAAGAGGAACGAGTACATCTACTGCTACTACTACTCCTGAGCCTGTTGAGAATAAACTAAGCAGTAGTACAAATCGGTAGAAGAAACTCCGGCTCCAAAGCGTGTTGGGTTTTAGAGCGGACTCAGACTATGTCCTGATTCTGGGCTCTCACGTTAGCGCGTTGATCAGCTGATGTGTTGCCCAACAACGGCAAGAAATAGTGAGGGCGCGGAAACCATGAAGTTAAGAACTACTGCACGGATCAGCTGATCCAGCTGATCAAAATGGGTGTGGTCAGTCTCCGAACACAACTTATGTCGATCCCGGTTAACGCGAAAGTGTGACTCAGAAACTCGGAAGCGAGTCGGTTCATTACTATTTACGTCATGACTCATTGTCAAGCACGTGGCTCACCTCTAAAGAAGTGACAACTTTAAACTGTCGACATCGGTTAACGTAATCGTCCACTGATTACGACTGATAGAACAAACGGCTATGAAGCAATTCTTGAGGATGCTCACATAGTCACGCTCCGCAGGTGCCTGGCTGCAACGAACTAGGTGCAAATCTAGCTGTATCACGCCCTTTGTCAGAAGGCCTCTAGGTTCGTCCCACGAACGCATGCAAGCACATTCGGTGCACAAACGGCTGCCACAGTAAGCAAACGTTCCAATTCATCGAGTTTTGTGTGGGTATGACGGACGGCAGGTGATCAGAACGGTCATGCCGATTTGACCAAACCGGTGTAGACGGTCGTGGATGCAGCCTTAGACAAGAATGCCTCAAGAATAAGAACTTGTATCAGCTTCAACTGTTCTGACTGAATCGAGTCTATGCGTCGCTTGCCAACCAGTGTAAAAACGAAGGTATACCAGTTCCAAATGATAGCGCTGGTACTAGTGGACCATGGTTCAATATACGTTGGACATATAGGACTGTATGTCCTGAGTCGTTGGCAGTTGACGGCTCCACCATGACTTGTGGTCGAACCCGTCTCATTCTAGCTCTCAATTTTTACATTATGTTCGTGGCAGCCGATTCAAGGACAAGAGGAATCTAACGATCTGTATCGCATTTGGGGATTCGTTGAGCATCTTAAGTCCTCTTTCTTTACTGAATCCCAAATGACGACCGTTGAGTCGAAATCGGACAGGGACGGTCCAGACGTTTTTCTCTTGTTGGTTTGCCTTGGAAGGTTCTCTCTTCAACAAACATTCCATTTACGCGATTGGTTTCGATGCCTAGTTGGATAACTGTAGTCATGGGAACATGTGTGCCCCTGCCCCTGAAAATATTTTGGAAGTGGTCTATTCTCCTCTGAAAACCAATCAAATACCATCAGGGTTGTGTTTACATGAATGCAGCACAAAAAACCCATTCACGTGACCAAACTGTGCTCACCAGGCAAACTTAACATCACAGCAGCGGACTGGTCGATACGTAGTCGATAACGCTTAGTGGCGTAGGTATTGGACAGCACACAGTGCATGACGAAAGGAATGAGAACCGTATGAGCTGCTTCTGCTAGACTATCTCTGTTTTCTGTTGCACTGTGCGTGTGAGAGAGAGAATACAGGTGTCCTACAATGGTAACAAAACACGTGTTTTTTCTATTCACTTCTCTGGCAGAACTGCTAAATGTAGTGCACTTCAGCGACTTTTTCACTTAAGAAACGAGAAGTTCACGGGTAAAATGGATGGTCTGAGGGAGAGGATATTTCGAGGAAATTCAACGAATTCAGGCGCACCTAATTGCCTCGTCCGTTTTGTGACCTTGACTGCCAATCAGTCCAATAATTTCGATCGACAAGCAGAATGGATCGATCGGTTAAGTGTATGAATTCATAATTTAGCAATAGCACGCGTTAGTAGGTTGTGTCACACAAACAGACGGGGCGCACCAAACAGTATAGAAAGCTCAACGACGTGCCGGAAACGCCTACTAAGGAATGGTGATTACAAATAGGGCCTGGAGACGGGTGTGACAAGAATTTCGGGGATGCATGCTTTTTCTCCGAGTTGAGAAATCCAAAAACCACGGTACACAACGAAAACGACCGGAGTATTCACCAACCAACTGAGTTCTGCTCACACTGCTCGAATCGAAAAAAAATCATTCAGCTGTAGCACCCTTTTGGTGCTTAACTGCCATGACACCCGAAGTAAGCTCGATGGGTGGGATACTGCCAGGTTGCCCGAGGCTAGACAGGGGAAGCCGGGAGGCAGAGGTCGGGTTCAAACCACGGACTTTCTGGTCAATAAATATGTGCTCTTACCACTGAGCCATCTCGCACGATGTGATGCAGCATCTGGTCTATTTCTTTTTCTAGTTTTCAGAGCTTGCCTCACGCGTTCAGATTTCACTGGGAGCGACACTTCGCACGGCTTCGTTAGTTCCCTAATTGTGTCAGAAATGCAACCGCACGGACATTGGTATTCGACAACAGTCGAGCGTTGTGGTAGCCAAACTGGCAGGTCCCACCACGGGCCGTGCAAATATATAACTGTTCGAACTAAAGGTCATTCAGTAAGGCTCGCTCCCACCACAACATTGGGAACGAGGCTGAGGCGCCATCTTTGCTGAACTTGTTGCGGACCGTTGGGCATGGACAGCTGCAATATGTGATGGAGTTCAGTAAGGCTCCAGGTCACCACAACATTGGGAACAAGGCTGAGGCGCCATCTTTGCTGAACTTGTTGCGGACCGTTGGGCATGGACAGCTGCAATATGTGATGGAGCGGCAGTAAAGTAAAGCAACGCAAGTAATATGGATGTCACTTACTGTTCAATGTGAGCCTTTATTTGAACAGCCATCCGAGAAGTTGGTTGCTTGAACTGCACCTGATGACTCCAAGCCAGTCATCATTGACAACAATACACACATGGCTGTATGTGCACAGAGATACTAGCAGGACGCCCAAATCTATACAGGAGGACGATTATGATGCTCAGTCGAACTTTTGGCGCAAAATCTTGACGGCATTGCCGCAAGGGCCGGTGCGAGACTACTTGAGAAGCCCAAATTGTCAGCCTGGAGGGGCAGGAGACTGTGTTAATCAGACCTCTTCCCACTGACCAACCTGGTAGGAAGAGACTGTGGACATTGAGCAGGCATTGAGACTACTTGAGTAGCCAAAATTGTCAGCCTGGAGGGACAGGAGACTGTGTTAATCAGACCTCTTCTCACTGACCAACCTGGCAGGAAGAGACTGTGGACATTGAGCAGGCATTCTCTAATACAACTCAATGGGATGCTGAGGTACGCAAATTGTCGCATCACGACAAGGCCCAGTCTGTTTGCGACGCTTCGGATGACCCATATCGATTCTCAGGGAGTCAACCTGTAACGTTCAACTTCGCGGTCAGTTGACGTAATGTCCCATAGCGGCCGCTTAAAATTACTACAAAGAGTAGAGTCAAAAACTAACCTTGTGGGGGCGGATACCAAAAACTCCCTATTGCTGTAATGAGTTGATTTGTGTTCGAAGATGGCAATAAAACACTTAGGTGTGGTGAATAAGACCCCCTGACTTATACAGAATATTTCGCGAGTCAAGGAGTTCACAGCTTGTGAGCACTGAATGTAAAGCGGTCCTTTTACACGACAATGAACAGTCGGTTGAAGAGAGTTCAGTTTGCAATCAGCGCGATGTACACAAGGAAAAAAACCGAAACTTACCATCATCTGTTAACACCTCTTTGGCCGAAGAGATGAGAAGGAATTCGCGTTCCGCCTTCTTCTTGTCCTCACCCTCATATCGATCCGGATGCCATTTACGAGCCAATTTTCTGTAGGCACTGGCGATTTCTTGTTTAGTTGCCGAACGACTAACACCCAGTATTTTGTAATAGTCCTTGCGTTGACTAGTTTTCAACAAGCGCTGGGCTTTCTGAAGAATCTCTCGAGCCCTCTGATGACGCCGGTCTGTATCGAATACCTTTTGGGCTGTTCGGATAGCTGATAGGAGGTCAGGAGAAATGAAATGAGGATGTTAGAAGACGAATGGTGTGAAAGCTGATGGCAGGATAGACATAGGGTCGCTTTCTACTCACTTTGCTGAGACAATGGTGAGCAACTCGTAATTTAAGAGCCGCAATAGGGATTCGGGGGGACTGGCCAAATGTGATCAATGAGGGGTTCAGTAGATATGTTGTGTAGTCACCTCGGAATGATTGTGGTAAGCTAGCACTAAGTCCATTACCCGTCCATCTTTATTCTTTTCTTTACAATAAGTCATGGTTGTACGGCAGTGAAGCATCGGTGTTGAGCACTGATGTCATGCTGTTGATGATGATGATACTCTAGAAGGAGACTTTCGGAAGAATGGTCCCACACACAAATGAGAACTAGACTGATAATGATGACAAAAGTGATCGAGTTCACTGGAGTAAATGCCTTTAATTATTGCCTTTGATCGATGTCGAAAGCAAAATAGTGTTGAACGTCAAGGCTGTGCTGTCGACGGATCATGATACAGTAAGCTGAATGCCTTAGGTGAGTTCAGTCAGGTTGGAGAAGTTGTCATATTATGAAGGGATGAAATGCGTAGCTCTGGCGACGTCCGAGTACCGTTAAATACTGTTAGACACAAAGACACTTAACGCTATCACCTATTCCCACGGAATTCATGCGTCTACAGACCACTGACAAAAAAGAATACAGTAATGCTCCACGGAATAACAACAACGTTCGTACAACAGATCACGGAGACCTGTACGAATTAAGGCCTGTCCACGCCCAAAATATGTTGGTGTACTCACTCTCTTGCTCCTGTGCAGCGGAACACATTGGACGTACGATTAGGCAACTCGCCCAAAGAATGAACATCATCCACCCTGGCTAGTTTCTGGATCTAGGAGAAAGATAACCAGTTCAGTAGTACAACATCTAGCAGACGCGGGGCACAACGTGATACTCAGCCAGAGCTTCCGCATTGTTTACGAGACGCCGGCTAATCAACCCAGATTAGTACAGCAACGCACAATCGCAGTGGCTGAAGCTATCACCATACGACATGATCCGTTGTCGGTAAAAACACTTTGTACGCATATTGTACTTGTCGTGGTCCAACTCACCTCCCCTAAACTGAAACCCTGTACTGAACACACAACCACAGCTCTGAGCGCACTGACAAGCTCCAGTAATCCTATTGGTGACTTCAACTAGTTGCTCTTTTATAGGTAGCCAAGTATGCAATATTCATTTAAATATGTTCAATACTGCCCTCTTAACCTTTGAAACTGTGTGATTTGAAAAGACATTGCCGAAAAAACGTTCGTCAACTCATCATTGTTCCTAAGGCAGGATTATTTTTAGCAAGATTTTAGATGACGTTCGAACGAGACCATGAGCCTTCTTTTAGTATAAGACGTAGACTGCACTGAATTTTCACGTCACGAAAACAAAACCCCCAGAACCGAAGCCGGTTAGTCCGGTCCCCCCAAAAAAACATTCAAACATTGACTTAGATCGATGGGAGGACTTTGCCATGATCACTGCTAATATACAATCCTGCCACATCAACGGACTGTTGACGAATGAACTTGATTTGGGTTGGCCAATAGTCTAACCCAGGGTAAGCGAATACAACACCACCATTCACTGGAACATCTCACAGTTGCGACATGCGTTGAGGGGTTAGAGAATAGAGTAGAGAAGCGGACAAGAACTCGACAGTTTTGTTGTGAAGTTGCCTCGTGTTGCGTTCGAGTATTCAGCTTGGAATCGAACAACGATTCTTCCGCATTAACTTAGCGGGAGCTGAGGATCAGGATCCAGAACTGCCACACAGAACACGTACGTATCAGTTACATATATGCAAAAGTTGATAGCGATAGCATTCAGCTGTAGCACTCTTCCGGTGCCTAGCTGCCATGCCACCAGAAGGAAGCACGAGGGAAGGGATACTAACAGGTTGCCCAAGCCTAGACAAGGGAAGTCGAGAGGCGGAGGTCGGGTTCGAACCACGGACCTTCCGGTCACTAAATTCGCGCTCTGACCACTTGAGCCATCTCGCCCATATGCAATAGTACTGAAAATCAGGAACTTCCCACCCCGACAAAAAGATGTCTGAGGCCACGGTTCACAAACTTGTTCGCCCATATGCAATCAGGAACTTCCCACCCCGACAAAGGATGTCTGAGGCCACGGTTCACAAACTTGTGCGATACTGTTATTACTAGTCAACATCTTAACGCAAAACCATTCCAATTAAGAAATATTTTCAGTTCCACCGAAGCTTGACCTTGAGGGTGGCATATAAATTTGGTGGTAGTTCGTAGGCGTTTATGAGGCCAAGAGTTGTCCGGATGGAAAAAAGGTATTACTCAAGAATCAGTAGATAGAACTTGGGCGTCGTCATTTCGACGGATAAGATTACGGCTTCCAAGTTGCCTACTGCACAGTCTTCAACCCATTTATGCCCTTTGCCATATCGAGTAGTCCAGAAAACTAACAGTTTCATCAATAAATGGCTTCTAGGCCGTTCGCATACGTTTACTCGTAATCAGTACTTTCATGCACGCAGATGGGTTTTCTCCAGTCCAACCACCAAAGTTTAAATTAATGCTTACTCATGAGTAGCGAGATTCCTACACTCCCCAGGACAGGACCACCGTCCGTCAAGTGATAAAGAGAAACTTGCTAACCCAGGTTTAGTTCATCCCTAGGTACCAGCGTGATCTTCATCACCCAGTACCCCATACACAAACAGCGTTGGTTGCTCATACACTAGATCAAGAAGTGAAAGAAAAAATTAACGCGAACGTACCATCATCATACTTTTCAGCATTGATGTACGAGTCGGCAAGGTCACAGAGTAAATCCACGTTTTCTGGAAACTGGCTGATGACTTCTTCGCAGTAAGTTACGCCACCAGCACTATTGGACTGTAAAGGAAATCGAGAAGTGGAGTGGAATTAGCTAGGCGTTCGTCAGTGGACGTACTACTGTCTTTCGCAAAATAAAGGTAAATGAAAAAAACTGAGGCGTAACTGATGTCAGGGCTGTTACGATAAACCTTATTCTGGGATTAACCGTCCAGAGACATGTACCAGAATTTTTTTCAACACCACTCCAGGTAAATGCAAGGTGATTTCGTGAACTCGAGCCGAGCTGTGACAGGACTCCGTTTGATGACAGCGGTCTTCACTTCGCGTTGCGAAAAACAACCCAGTCTGTTCGTCAAAATCTTTGATTGTCGTATTTGAAAGGCGTCCCTGAAGTCGAATCATCCTGTCTCGAGAGAGCCACTTTGAAGCGAGTGTATGAGTAGGACATATCTCTACTATCTGACTTACTAAGCTTCAAGCATTGCCCTAGTAGGATCATCCTATTGCCTAGTACCCGCCTATTCACCATTGGATGGTGGGTAATTGCTGTCAACCAAACTCTGCAATGTTGCGAACAAAAGTTGGATAGCAGAAAGGAAAACTGATGGTCGACAAACACCTGATCAAGTAAGAAAACATGTAAAAACGCATAAACACGCGCATTATGATGACCACCTTAACGAGACGTTTGAAGAGTTGAAGGTTATAAGAGTTTGAAAATATAGAAAGAGGCAGAGACGTTTGGAGCCAGAGTGTTCTCGGAAAGTCATCATCATCAATGGTGGGTAATTGCTGTCAACCAAACTCTGCAATGTTGCGAACAAAAGTTGGATAGCAGAAAGGAAAACTGATGGTCGACAAACACCTGATCAAGTAAGAAAACATGTAAAAACGCATAAACACGCGCGTTATGATGACCACCTTAACGAGGCGTTTGAAGAGTTGAAGGTTATAAGAGTTTGAAAACATAGAATGAGGCAGAGACGTTTGGAGCCAGTGTGTTCTCGGAAAGTCATCATCATCATCATCATCATCAAAGACAGCAACATCAGTGTTGGCACCGATGCTTCACTGCCGTTCTCGGAAAGTAGTGGGTCCTATTTTGCAGTAGGAGGCCGGGGTTAGATAGGAACGGAGAAAATTGAGTGGGTGTGTAGTACAGTTAAAACACCTAGATGGAGGGATGAGAGATGCGAGATCCGACGAATACCCCCCTTTGTAGTATGAGTCCCAACGATGAGTTTCTAGAGGTTATCGGTTAGAGGTGCAACAATGAGGTTTAGAGATTCGTTCTGAACACAACCATCCCAAAGACGACAGACTGGGGACAAATGTGAGATTTACAAAGAAGTTGCACAGAGCTGAAACACTTGCGAGCTCGGGATAGAAAATCAAACCTTCTAAAGTCAAGACCCGCGGAGATTTTGGAATAAACGAACCAGGGAAGGTTGTTCGTAAGTGTAAACCTAAGAAGGTAGAACGACAAAGAATAAAAAATGGTTATGGGTCCAATAGATAGGCAAACGTTGTGCGGACAATAGAGGAATCTAGACGGGTTTCATTTTGTTGTGGTTTACATGTTCCATCCGGGACTTTTGGTAAGGTCGATATTCAGCGCCATGATGACCTGTGCCTGGCCGTTGCACAAACGACAAGTGGCAGTGCGTTGAGGATGGTAGGATAGATAGGACTGAAGATAGGCGTCATCTGCGAAGGAGTGCACATGAAAAAACAAGCCACTGGCGGAACAGTACCTAGATTATACGGCCTTTCCAAAACACATAGACCTGGTCTACCTGTCAGGCCTATTCTTGACAAGTTTAATTCTTCATACCGAACTTTGGCCAAATGGCTTATGAGTTTACTAGAAACAGTTTGAAGAGATGTTGGCACAGGATCTTGAAGATATAGCTCAGTGGCTGTCAAGATTGCGGTTCTAAAGACCAATAACCATCATATATTCTCCCTTGATGTCGTACCTTCATTAACTAAAGTACTACGGCGTTAGACTGTTTGTGAGTAGACAATCATGTATTGACGTTTATATTTCCGTACCGCCACAACAGAAACGAAATCTAATTAGCTGCCTGAGTGGAAAAGCAATTAGGACACGTGCCGACAGTATCCAAGACGAACCAAACTTTGGTAATACGTATTTTTGAAATCCACATTTTGCGACTCACACTCAGAGCTACACATTCTACAAAACAGAGAGAGAACAACACATTGTCCAGAAAAACATACCTATGTTACTGTCCCGTCCAAGGGTAATGGGACTGCATACCTGATTTCTAAGGAGCTGAGTCGCTTTGTCGATACGAAGTACACAGCCACTAACCTGCGTTAGGGTTTCAGTTACAGTTCTGCCATCAGGATTTATCCAAGGGATAAACTGCCAAACTCTACCAGAAACTTCTGCGTATACTCTGTCGTATCGTCGTGCCGAGCATCATGTGCTGGTCACACGACAGGGCATTTGTCCGACAGGATACGTGAACATAATCCAGTTATTCTGAGTAGTGATTGGAGGAGTTTCTATTTACGTGCAGGTGCACCACGCATGGCCGAAAAAGGACATGCCTTCCTTGCCTTCTACCTCTGAACCGGTCATCGACAGTAGGATTCGGATTGCAGACGCCATCGGAATTCAACTACGTTTCAAAAGAAACCTATGCGGGCCTTGAGCTTGAGAGGCTGTGGTTAGACAGCAAACTCACTGATCGGAAGGTCCGTGAGTTAGAACCCGGCTTCTGCAAATCGACTGCTCCTGTATAGGTTTGGGCAACCTGGCAGGACGTCGAGCCTCCTTCAAGTAGCATGGAAGCTCGGCACCGAAAGGCTACCTAGGTATTCTGTTCCAATGACTTAGTTTGACTGTGACGCCATCTATTTCACTCCGTGACCCACTGACCTGTGTATCGTCTCCCTCTTCCCTTTCACACTTGTACCTGTGAATTTAACTAATCACGTAGGTGATCCACGTATAGTTTCATATAGATTTGGGATGTATTAATCAAGATGAACATCAGTTCTTATAAAAACATTCACGGGTATCTTCAGTCGATTTATGGGAGAGGATGACTACATTTGACGCGCATGGGCTAACATGTCGTCAGTGGGGCAGCGGCTTCTGAACCCATGTCGACGGGTCAAGAGTGTGCTCCGAGAGTGCACAAAAGTTGTTTGCAAATAATAAACTTGAGAAATTTGTGTGAAACTGTACGGAAGAAAATTGAACGATAATTCCTCCAGGATGACAGGAAAATATTAAGTTAAATCGAAGCATAGGAAAGTTTTCCGATAATTGTGCCAAGTTTTTGAGAGCAGTTTAGAAGCCTCCACAAGTGGGAACAACAGGAACAGGTAGACTAACAAAGAGTTCTGACAGAAAGCATCGAATATACCTCGTAGAGTTGAGAACTGAAGAAGGATAAAAAGGTGGGGAGTTTGGTATGCGAGCGGAATCGTTTGAAGATAAGAGATTTTTACTTTCCTTACCAAAAGGAGTTTGGGATCGCCATGACAGTCGACCACACGAGAAAAAGAGAGGGGTCAAAAAATCAGCCTATTACTTTAGTCAGACTTCAGAATGACCGACTTCCGGCTGACGCGTTTCATAGTTGACTTGCCTTCTGACTACTGAGCACATCTTTGGCTCCGCCGATTACAACTGTATAGAAGTGACGGGCGGCAACGTAGTCAGCGAGTGATAAAACAGTTCGCACTCACCATCGTTCGTACATTGTGACGGCTCTTGTAATTTTAGAGACACACGTGTTTAGGAGGGAGGGATTATCATTTAGCAAGTTTAAATGTGGGTAAACGAAACTATAATCCTTACAAATGACATCAGCGAGTGACAAAACAGTTCGCACTCACCATCGTTCGTACATTGTGACGGCTCTTGTAATTTTAGAGACACACGTGTTTAGGAGGGAGGGATTATCATTTAGCAAGTTTAAATGTGGGTAAACGAAACTATAATCCTTACAAATGACACTCGTAACCCTCGACAATAAATGGCGGAGCGTTGGACGAACAACATCTCCTAGGGTAATAGCCGACCTAGCCGAAATCCACTGATGGGGGTAAAATAACAAAAATAATCATTCAGCTGTAACACAGCCTCGGTGCCTAGCTGCCATGATATCCGAGGAAAGCATGGGGGATGAGACACTGTGAGGTTGTCCACGCCTAGACAGGTTGATTGATGGTCAACCTATTCCGAAAGTCGGGGTCACCGGAACTGGATAGCCCTTATTTCGACCTTTTACACTAGTAGTGAACGATGAAAAATCTACCAGTAGAACGACACGTGTAAAATTGTCATAGGGTAAATCTGTGCTCAATGCTTCCATGAATAAGATGCAACCCTAGTTAATTTTCACCGTCCTTCAGTTCAGGTGCACAGTGAGGCATCTCCTGATTTTTAGCCACTGATGTCTCAGAAGCATTGTCTGTATCAGGTGGCGTTAAGCATAGTTAAATAAACTTTATAGTTTGACATCGAGAGGAGCATTGACGGTTCAAGTTGTATAGAAATTTATTGTTCGGTTCGCTACGCTGGACAATTCGGATGTAAAAATTTACGACACTAAACCAGCTGACATCATCAGCAAATATTGAATTCGCCGAGTTGAAGAGTGCTTGTGCTAATTTGTCTTGCTGACGAGAGGGAGGTGGTCTCTGATTGTGATCAATCGTTTGAATGGGTGGTTCAGTTGGTTGGATGGTTGGTTAGCTCTCCGGCTGATCGGTGCCCGAGCCGACCTCGTCTCATTCCACATGACATGTGATTCCACGGTGATCATCTCTATCACCGAAATATTGGACCTTACCGCAGTGTGACGGCTTGTGTGACTCAGCGACCCACTGATATTTACTAGGGTGTGTCCGTGCGACACTCGCGGAGTTCTCGTATCAGGTTGGTCAATGGTTAGAGGTCTGACAAACAGTCCCCTGGTACTCCAGGTTGGGGGTTGGAACACGTGTGGCGGCTCGTTCCATAGGAGTGATAACGCATTTACGTTTCCAACCAAACAACGCTGTCCTCTGGTTAGGCTATTGAGCCAAAGGCTTTGGTTAAGGACCCAATCGTTCTCCTGTCTAGGTGTGGGCGCCCTGACAGTATCCCAGCCTCCGTAGAACCATGACATTCACAACTAACAATACTTTCATGCCACATCAACCGTCGCGTGGTGCCATCGGCTGGATCGCCTTAATTGCTGCATACAATAGGAAAGACAAGCGAAAACATGCTACTGCTGACGCCCCCATCGTTCTCTAACTCACATCCTTTTTCTCCCTCCCCGAACCCCGTTGGGGCAAGATGGTTCAGTGCTAAGAGTACAAATTCATTGACTGGAAGGTCCCTGTTTGGAATCCGACCGATACATCTCGACTTACCCTGTCTATGCTTGGGCGACCTGGCTTTCACGTGCTTCCTTCGGAGGACAGAGAAGCTGGGCATCTCACCCCATTAATAACTCCCTCATTGTAGGCTCAGAGATTGGGACTGATGATGCCGTTGGTCCTGCGTTCTGCGCATCATCCATTGGACTTTGTTAAGGTGGATTTGGTAGGTATGCTTCACATCAGGGTCCAGGAGCTTTTCAATGGCCAGGGGAAGTGTGCATCTTACACATCTCTTAGAGACGCCAAGAGGAGGCAAAGGACAATGTGTTATCTGGATCCACATAGATGTTCCAGAGCGAGCGACATTACGTAATTAACTCGCGCCATCAATATTTAATGGCGAGATGGTCAAGTTGTTGGAAGTTGGCTCGCATGAGGGGGATCATATGGCAAGGCGGCTTCTTTTTTCGAAGTACTCAGATCAACTCTAAGGTCAGCAAATTACTTCAGCAGACGTTCGCCGTTGTCTGTTCTCGGTTCAAATCCAAGATAATAACCTAATTGAGCCAGTAGCTCTAAGTCTACGCAATTTCGCACTCACATTCCTGGAAACCACTGCCTTATATGTCGCCTAGCTCGCCATAAAAAGCACTCAAAGTGTCGTAAAAGCTTCGTGATTTAGAGGCAACTTTAACGGAATACGAGATCTGAGTGAGCACTCCCTATTTTCCAATTCGACGCAGTACGGTCCTGGAAGCTCGTAAGGATTTATCACTGCGTTAATTCGCCTATTGTCAGCGGAATAAACAAGGCGCATAGATCCGACAATTCATAATTAAATGAATCAAATGTCTGCCGTCAGAGACCCCTCGTCAAACGATTACACCAAGGTCAACCGACGCAGGTACGTATTCGAAACAAGTAACTAAATAACTCAATTTCTAAAATTAATACTCACCCGGGAGTGGCACTGACATAAGAGTAACTTTGCTTGGTTCTGATACTCCCGATGAGAAGGCTCAAGTTTCAGTATAGAGTCCGCATGCTTGATGCAATCTTTATAGCGGGAGTTTTCCATTGATTCCTGCGCTTGGGTAATATCTTTGGCCAGTTTCTTGACGACTTTATATAAACGCATGCAATTCTTATCATCCTGATCCAGTCGAAGACATTCGCGGAGTTCTTCCACAGATTGAACCGCTAGACCAGAATCATACATAAGCTGTGCCAATTTTAACAAGCCTTCTCGGTTGTCATTAAGTAGACGAACACCATATCGCATTTCGTGCACGCCCTATTCAGATAGGAGTGAAATCAGTAACAAAATACCTTTTGCACGTCTCCAAGCCTTAGATAACACTGAGCACGCAATTCTCTAACCTCCGGGTTGAAATTCATTACTTCTGCCAGTGAGTCCAACAGCCTTAATGCATCACGTGTTCGCCCTTCCCTAAATAGGCGTGGAGCGGCGACCAGTTGCTCCTCCATCATTGTTATCTGAGTGAGCTTCTCTGATGCCTCTGGATCCGAAGGAACCTGTGAAAGTAAAGTAATGATCACCACAGACCTACTAGTAATCCAAAGTCCGACTTCGCTTCATGTAAATGTCCCATCTTGAGATGAAGCATTGCACGTTGTCGAATAGCCTATCAAATGATCATGCCTCTAAAAGAATATACCGGAATGAAACCTCCATTCAGTTTGACAGATTGATCGAAGTCAGGCAGAGCGAGGCGAACGTTTCCCAGCGCTAAATGTGCTGTGCCACGTCTGTAATACGTCAGGTGATTATGTGGATCAGCGTCTGAATGGATAAGGTGTAGGACAAAAAGCTACCTACCGACGGCCTGGACGTAAACTGACAACGCATCAGCCAGCTGACCAGCAGCTAGAAGTCGCGTACCTTGCTCTAACAGGTCCTCAACTGAAGCACAGACTGAAAATTTTCCTAGTCACCAAGGTATGTAAGGGGACAGAGAAAAGTACCTGGGAAATGTAGGTATATCAGTGCCGAAATATACAGTGCGAATTTCTTCAACGACGCGGACAAGAAACACTTCATTGTACGGCGTCGACAGTTCTGCAATAACTTAAACATAGGGCATAGACGAAACTCACTGGAGTTTACGGATAAAGCGCAAAGCCACTAATGAAAATGGTCTGGCGGAAATAACAAAGTACGTGAATGTCCGGCGGTTATAGGTCTCAGAGGCTGATCTGCTCAGCTGAGGATGCAAATTAGCAGCGGAAAGTACAGCACAATTATGAGGGAAATTCCGAGGAGCGCGGGTTACCCTCGCGTAATTCTGTGTGTGCGACCCTGATTGGATGACTGCGTCCTTCAAAGTTCAGTTCAACAGTGACAATTTTGGGGGGCACAAGGCTGTTATGTCAAATGAGAATACTTAACTTTCGGTCAACTTTATCAAGGAAGAAGATGACTGATATCGAAACATCGCCAATGTTCCAAGCCGAACGCAGATCAGTATGCTACCCAATTTTTCACGGATTCACGGATGTTCCAAGCCGCAGATCAGTATGCTACCCAATTTTTCACGGATTCACGGATTGATACACAGGATCGAAGCTTTTGCCCAAGTTTCCCGGGCGGGTTTTGTTCTTNGTACTCCAGGGGAAAGAGATCAAGCATCGCGAGACGCGTTTCGTAGTCCACGGATTTTGAGGCCGCAACCATTCTAGTGGCGGCCCGCTGGACACCCTCAATGAGGGTAACGTCTTTCGTACGTCCTGAGTAGACAACTTGGTTGGGGTACTCCAGGAG